GTGCTTTGTTCCACGGACTGCCAGCTGTACGGAATAATTGTGCGATATAAATATATATATATATATATATATATATATATATGTCGTGTTTGGGTATATTTGCAAACAATGCAACAAGGTAGTTGCTGCATAAAAAACGTACATCAAGCGTATTATGAAGGATGCGAGGGCTTTAACAATACACTGCGAGAAAAATATTAACATTAATTGTTGATGAATCTTATATCCTAAATGTAATATAGAGAATGAAACATAGACAATCATTCAATATGGGTAAATGGGAGATGTGTGATAGGGAACTGTTCCCATATTAAATTTAGCTAATAGGAAAAGTTTTAAAATTATTTTTTGTAAGTTTTTGGATTTAGGATTTAGCATCCATACTAGCTCCTTTTATTTATTGTTTTTCTTAAATTAATTTGTTTATTTATTCATATATTAATTGTAATATATATAAAATATAATTTATTTGTTATAAGTGCAAGTTCGTTATTAATATTGAAACATTAATATCCAACCTTACGCTCAGACAAACGGTATGGAGCCCTCCGTTCAATGCCTGCAATATGTCTGCTTTTTATCAAAAATTCTATAAGCTTGCACCTTTTTCTGCTACAGCGAATACAAACAGACTTATAGTTAAAGACACAGGCTGAATGGAGAGCTAAGCCTTTCATGCTTGTCTGTTGAATAATCTTTTATTCAGTTTTTGCTCCGCAGACTAGACAAAATTAATATTCATCTCTATTTTTAGCATTTATTTGAAGTTATGTTAGCAGACTCTGTGGCATTTATTAAATATATATTCCCCAAATATATACACAGTTCATATAAAATTAAAAAGTATGTCCCGCATAAGCTCAATCCTTGTCCCAGCTGCGGAATGTCCTTCATACGCATAATTCTTTGCTGTGCAACATATCGTTGCATCTTCCGCCGTATCTTTTTTCGGTGTCAATGCAATGTATGCATAAATATGGCACTTACCCTCTCCGTATGCGTGGGTGGGTGTATCTGTGTGTGTGTGTGCTTATAAATCTCGACAGTATAACATGGCAGCAGTCAGCAACAGAAGCAGCAGCAGCAACAGGACCTACAGCATATAAATATACGAGCAGACATACATATGTATGTATATATCTTATATATGTAAATGGCAAATACTGACGAATCTGCCTCGTCTGTCGTCTTGTTTTCTTTTTTGTGTATGTATGTATATATTTAACATATATATGTATATATAAATTTCTTTTACTGACAGAGTGGCA